AAGGATTGAGACATCTCCGCCACTCCAGGCTCATGTCAGACTACCTTCATGGTGAAAACACTTTTTCTTATTATGTAATCAGAATTTTCCTTGCTGCAACTTGTACACATTGATCTTGTCCTTTCACTGCTCACCTTCAAGAAGAATCTGTATTTCTATAAAGTTCAAATGTTTCAACTTGCTCTAAGTCCGACGTAGTAATAAAGCCAGTTCTGCAGAGGATAAATGGAGCCTATTACTGAATTTAAAGGAGGTACACTGCTTTATCAGCATGGAGAATCTGGCCCTTCCAATGTCAACCGTAAGGCAATGTATAGACAGCTGTATCTCTAACCATCTGCAAATGCTGACATATTTAGCTGACTGGTATTTTCAGGCTTGGTTTCAGCAGCCAGCTAACCTGCAAATTACTTTCACTGAGCATAAAAGCACACTTGAATGTCATCAGCTTTTACATAGAAAATAGCTTAGGAAACTCAGATAGTCTTATTTTCCCACAGACTCTAGAGCCATGTTTGTAAAGCCAATGTTACACTTCCAACACTTTCAAGTCTTATATCTTCCACCCACATTCTTTATTAGACTGTAATTCTGAATGTTGTTGTTTGTTATGGGATCTCTAAGCTAAGGTCCCAAGGCAAAGGGAAGTATCAAAGCTACAGTAAGAGGAAGTTTCAACGTGCAAGAGAAAATGTTAACATAGAGTCCCAGATTTTTTGTATTTTTATAGTGGGTTTAAAAAAAAAAAAAATAGAATGACTGATTACTTACAGAAAAAAAGGACTCTTCTAGATTTCGTACTGGCAAAAGTGTTGATTAGTTCACAGGTGTCCATTTCGTTAGCAATTTAATTTCATTTGCAGTTGAAATCAAAGCCTATCCTTCAGTCTCTACAGGCCCATAGCTGACCTCATATGCTATTGTATTTGTTTAATCTGATGAGTTTCAGCTTTGAAAAATCTCATTTTGTAGGATTGACAATTCTGAGCACTGTCTAGACCCATCCCTTAAGTAAAAGTCTTGTCTATAGAATAGTTTACCTTTCAAGAAGGAAAAATGCGGAGGATATGAGAATGAACTGATAGGGAGTTTCTTTTGCCCATCAACAAGTTATCTGGGTCATTTTCATACCAAAGAAGCTGATATGAGACACCAGCAACTCACGAGCCTATTCTCTCTGAAGCCATGCTCTCTAGTCCTGGACACTTTTAGCTGCCTGTGTGACAGAATACAGTAAGATTATGTCAGATCTCTTTCCCATCCCATCTCTAGCTTAAAATACTGTGTGGTTCAAGACAATGGAAACAGCTGTCAGGTATCATAAGACATCCCAGCTCAACTAAAATTTTCTTCCCAAACTTACAGCCTTTGTCTTCTCATTCTTGTATATTCTTTGTAAGGTAGACTTTGCAGCTACTTCTAGATCTTCGCTACTGAGTTTGTTCCACACCTCAACGCTGTAGAGATGGTATTGCATTGCTTGTAACAGCTGATTTCTTGAATCTATCTGGGTTGATTAATCCAATGAACTCTGTAACAAGTGTCTTGCCAGCACCCACGACTTTTTAAGCTGGTAGCCAGGGGATATCCACTTTATAGTCTCTGGTGTGTATGAACATACTCTGTATGGAGAAGCCCTGCAGCTAGCATGGTCTAATAATGTAAACCACTCCTTTCTAGCTCAGATAGTAATGTCTAGTTTGGGCACTAGAGGAGATGATAGCTGTCATCGTATGTGCTTATGGGCAAGAACTAATGATTGCTGTTTGCATGGTGCCCCCTGCAATGAGGTCTGATCCAGCTAGTCTTTGGCAGTCACTTTCAATCCCATCATGGTCCTGTTCAGTCATCCCAATTCTGCAGAGTCTGGTTAATGTACGAGACAGAAGGGTTTATATTGCACTAAATCTTTATTTGCTGTATTCTGATGGAATATTAAAAACCACCTTTTTATTTCTATTTATTTGATGTGACAGCTTGGGTTTTAAAATGTAGATGGTTTCTTTCTTGTTTTGTATAGTCATGAAACTATACTTCAGTTTATTATCTAATACTTCTTTTTTTAAAAAAGTAATTGGGATTTTTTTTGTTAATTTGGAAATCTTCCAGGAGGTAGACAGGTTGGTTCTTTATCTCCTGAAGGCTTTCTGATTGCTACAAGGTATAATACATAGACTGCCTGGGCATACAAAACCTGGCAGGACAAGAGCCCTGCCAGAATCCCAGTTGTTTATGTACACTTTGGAACACAGGAACAAGGAGGTGGTCACAGTTTGAGCCTGGATCTCTTGATCCACTCTGGAGGCAGACTGCAGCTTCTCCCAGGTTTGTGGAGCCAGTCTTTACCCTGGATAGAGGCAGAAGCTCAGCTCAGCTCAGTGTTCAGGGACACATACAGGACATCTCAGGGAGGCCTTAAATTTCTGAGACCATGACAAGGTCAGGACAAACTTCACTTGTTGTAGGGATCAGCTATATGAATTGCTCTGTGCTAGAGAAATATAAATATACATTGTAATGATAAAATACAGCAGAGAGAATCATTACTGTATGACAGAACATGATGTGCTTGACAAAATATCAGCCTGGTACTCAATCTTACCTGTCTGCAGTATCTCCCAGGAGGATATGGAAGCGAGTCCCCAAAGCGAGGTATGAGGTGAAAATCTTCCAGGCAAGAGACACCAATAGAAACTGTTAGCTTTACCATATCTACAGGGAACATAGTGTCCTGAGATTCATATGCTCCGCGTTGATGTTTCCCTTTTAATCCATATAGCAATAAATCCCCCTTACAGACATCTTTTGGGAAGGTTCCAGTAGATGCAACTTTGTAATTAGGAGAGAGGGTGCCCATTGTTATTTTCAGCATAATTGCACAAAATTATTTCGGATTTCTGCCCCGGTAGTGTCAGCAAGACTCAATGTAAATAGCATTTTTCTTTTGGGGCTGAAGACAGCTCTGCAGTCTAATGAATAGTAGGACTTTGGTAAGCCAGTGAAAAATCTAATGATATGGATCTAACTGTGTTGGACATCAGCTTTACTAGGCTGCTTCTGAGATATGGGAGTATTGACGGTGTTTATGACAAATTACAGTCCTCGGTTATTCTTGCATGATTAGTTTCCTTTCAAAGTACCTGGAAGGTTTAGAAAAGATTAAATATGTACAATGGAATATATTCACTTACTGGTCCCCAGATACCATGTCCTAGTCACCTTCCTACCAAGTCAATAGACAGAATTTTTTGTTCCTTATTTTCTGTGTCAACAGAGTCACTATGAAGTTTTGATTACAGAATGAAAAATGTCATTTTCTGGTTGACACAGAGCCCAATTTATAGTCCAAGGCATTTTGTTACCTTTTTCACTGCTTTAGCCCCCAAAAGGAAAAGTTTATGCTAATGCTTGAACAAAAGGGGAAAAAAAGTACAAAGACCCTTGGAGGGACTAAGCAAACCTCTGGTTAACTCTTCCTGTTAGGAAGTGTGTGCATCTAGTTATAGTATGAATTGGTAGTTGTCATGAGACCATGGAAGACTAAAAGCATTTATTCAAAAACGTTATTTTCTTGAACAACATGGTGTCATTGCCAATTACTTCAGGTCATTGAGTAGCAAGTTCATCAGAGTCACTAGTGATATTGGAATTTTTATGGTCCTATCAGGCTGCAGTTTTCCACGCTCTGTAGAAAAAACCCTGTGACTCAATGCTTGGGGCATGCTTTTTGTGCTGGTTGTTCAGTGTCAGCTGGAAGATACTCCATTTGTGCATCAGGGAGGATTCAAGCCTTGGGACAAGGCTGAACACATTCTGCAGATCAGCTGCCTTAGAGCTCACTTCTGCTGCTCCTTTTCCCTTCTCCTTCCTTGCAAGACATCAGCTCATCAGCATCATTTCAGAGCAACCTAGAACTTATTCTAACCTACACTAAGTGGCACAGAGAGTTAATGTTCTAAATAAAATACCCTGGTATAGGAAGGCATTTCCAAAACAGTGTAGGAGTGCTGAGGGAAGTCTTTAGTATGGTCAGACCACAGTAGGTGAAGGAATGGAGAAGTCTAAGAGTCCCCTTCAGAATTCACAGCACTCAGATTTCCTCATATGCTGCTCCATGGGTTTTAAGGCCTTGTAGTTCTTAAGGTTAAGCTTGTTTAGAAGATCCCCACACCACAATGGCACAGTCAGGAAAACCATGATTTTTCTTTGTTTTCTTTTTTTTGGGGGGGGGTTTGGTTTTTTGTTTTCTTTGTTTTTTATGCCACTGTCACACTGAAGTGAAACTGCTGGCTGTCCCTAAATACTATCAAAGTAATAGTATGGGAAGAGAGCATCAGTCAGACAATCCAGAATAGTTGACTTTCCTTCACAGCATTCATGCATTTTGGGTACTCATTGATCTTGAATACAGGAAGAGAAAATTAAAATTGATAGAGTGACAATAGGATAAAATAATACCTCAGAACATGATTAGTAGGACTCGTATGACAGGAAAGGACAGGGATGGAAAATTTGTGAGCTGAAAGAAAGATGGTGATTTCTTACAGGCATCAGAACAGCTCCAAGACAAGATGGAGTATCTACTCTCATTCCATTTACATTAAGGGTTTCTTCACAAATAGTTAATAAGGGATTATAAATTAGCCACAAATGCATGCATGTGACAGGAGCAAAAAGGGGTCAAAGGCTGGTCCAACCTAAAGGACTTCGATGACAAACCCATTGCAGGGCTAGCGAGGTTAAAATACATAGGGTTTTGTAGCTGTGGATCCATGGAAATAGGGACTTTTGACTCACTTCTTGAATAAAGGAGCTCATTCACATCCACTGCTGGGTCAGGAGACAGTCACCTGTAGTAAGTACACCTCTAGAAGATGTTGGAGGTGCCATCCCAGCTGCATAGCAATCTACAGAAATTGCTGTATCTCTGAATCTGAATCTTCTTGTGGTTCTGTGGCCTTTTTCTATAAAATGCGATACAACTTTCCTTGTTTGCACAGTTGAGAGGAAAGGGAAACGGAGAATCCGGACAACGTTCACAGCTGAGCAGCTTCAAGAACTGGAGAAGATTTTCCAAGTGACTCACTATCCAGATGTCCATATTCGCAATCAACTGGCAGCAAAGATAAACCTCCCAGAAGCCAGAGTTCAGGTACATTGTGTCTCCAAAAGGCTATGCTCACTGCACCAATTCTTTATTCAGAGCACATTTTTAATAGTTTATGCCTAGGTGACAACACTAATGAAATATGTGACCTCTCTGTTACCCTAAAGAGGAGGCCAGTACCATTCTTTTCCCTTTTACAAATAAAGAAAAAAGTATTTGTCACCCAGCTGGGACTAATCAAATGGGATTAATCAAAGGGTTAACAGGAACTCTAAGCATACTAAATGCATAGCAAATACGAATTACAGATGATTATGAACAACCTGTTGGACTCAGTAGCAACAGAGCAGCCATTTATTAAAATATTTATTAATCATTTATCAACCTTTCATAGACTAATGTACATCCCATACAAACTGTTGTCCACATCCATCTTCTACAGGGTCTCAAAAAAAGTGAAAATAACTGCCCAAATGAAAATTCTTTCTGTATTTTGATATCACAGGCTTTAAATACCCTGTCTGTAATTTCAGTGCATGGAGACTAATCCAGTTTCCCCTGATGTAATGTAGTCTCACTGACTGAGCTCAAAATTGACCCCAAATGTTTACTGCATATGAAATCTACTACATTAAAATACACATACCACTGTGTATTGGCATTTGGTGTTGGTTTACCAGGCACTATTGTGACAATTTTTGCACAAGGTAGTTTCTGTACTTGCTGTAATGCTAGTCATAAGTGTAACTCTATGCACATATCCCTCTCTAACAATCAAAGTTCAATACAGAGCAGTTTATTGACTATGACATGCCTGGGACTATCGACTAACCATGATGATATTGCTTCATAGTTAAGTGACAAGGAGAGTTGGAACAGCATAGCCATAATATGCCCTGTAGCGATATCAGTGCACCCACAATGCATTTCCAATGGTATAAAGCACAAGCTGGGTACTAGTCAGCGTTCCCAACAGAACAGCAAATGACATGAAAGAACAGGGTGATCTTCTGTTTAAAAACTTATTCATAATCTGTAGGGGTAAAAGTAAAATAGTTATCATGGGAAACATCAACCAGAGATGTACACAAAGGAAGTAAAAAGCCCCTCATGTATGTATTGCATATGGCAAATTCCCAGTTCAGACAGTGTTACACAACACAGGAAATTCTGAGTTTGACCTCATCTTGGCTGATAAAGGGAAACTGGCCACAGAACTAAAAATTAACAGTAACTTAGGTACAAGTTACAAGTTGTTATAACTTTGATTGCATTTGCCACATATAAGCAAAATAGACTGCAGAGAATTCATATATGATCTTGGTACTTTGAATAATAGTTTTGGCAAAGCTAAAAGCAGTATTGACAAATCGCCTGAGAGAGATAATTTAACTGGGGGAAAACAAGTGAGCAACCATTGGGTAACCAAGTGAAACAGTTCATAAGTGTGAAAAAACTTGTGTCCTCCAGTCAAGAAGCAAAAGGATGATTGCTGTGAAACAGTTTAAGTGGATAGGCAGAATTATATCCCTGTATGTGTGCATGCCTACATGCAATGCAAAACGAGGAATGCTGGATGAGTAAACATTAGAAACAAGAAATTATAAAAAAATGGATAAACAAAGCAGAAAGATAGAGGCCAAAGCTTTGGTCAGAAAAATTAAGGATAATCAGAAACTCAATAAAAGTCCATTAAGAACAAACAAACAAAAAAAAATATGAACAATTATCTTGATCTGTTACTTTATAAAATCAGTGGGACTGTCAAGGATAATGCAGAAATGGCAAAGATGTTCAGTCATAATTTCTGCTCTATCCTTGGAAATATGTCAGGTAAGGTGGTAGTATCACATGATGATGATGAGCCACTTTCCATAAGGACAAGGTTGAACAGCAGCTGCTACAGACAGATATTTTTAAATCCAGACATTTAGGTGACTTAGCTCCAGTAGTTCTTAAAAAGCTGCTTGAGAAACACTTTGGGTCATCAGTCTTGATATTTAATCAGTCCTGGAGCAAGAGACATTCTAGGGGCCTTGAAGAAATTTAATGTGTCAGAATTTAAAGGGTAAAGAGGACAACCAGATAATGACTGGCCTGTTAGCCAAACATTTTTAGCAAAACAGTGATAAAGCCAATATGAATTTCTGTTAATGAAGAATTAAAGAAAGGGTAATGCATTTAATACTTATCAATACTGGTTTATGGAAAATAGATGTAAAACTCATCTTTTAATGATGAGATTATTGGTTACAGTTTTAAACCAAAAGAGGGTAGATTTAGATTGGACATAAGGAAGAAATTCTTTACAGTGAAGGTGGCAAGGCAGTGGAACAGGTTGCCCAGAGAAGTTGTGAATGTCCCATCATTGGAAGTGTTCAAAGTCAGGTTGGATGGGGTTTTAAGCAACCTGATCTGGTGAAAGATGTCCCTGCCCATAGCAGTGAAGTTGGACTAGTTCATCTTTAAAAGATCCCTTCTGACCTAAACCAGTCTATGGTTCTATGATTCTATGATTCTATGTATTTGGTTGATAAACATAATTACATTGGTGGCATGCCACTGTAAGTACCTTGCCTTGGTCCTATGTCCTGCTTGGATTAAGAATACAGAGCAGATCAAATAGCATGTTCTAGGAGACAAAAAGCTAGGTCTGCAACAAGTGAGTAATTACAAATGAGAACATTTTGAAGGTGGTCTCTCATAGGAACCATTTACTGACACAAAGGTAAATTTGAACTACAAAGTCAGTAAAACCTTTAATGATAGTGCTATGAAATGGTAAGAAGATTAGGGGAGTGGAAAATAATGAAAAGGCTGATTCTTTAGTACAGCAAGCTTTGGATGATTGGCCATGTGTCTACAAGAGAACAATAAACAATCTTACAGGGCAACAAATGGAGGCCATTCCTACAACATGGGGCACATCACCCTCCCTCTGCACTCTGTTTTAGGTTTTGTTTCTTTGGATAACCTGCTGACCACTGAGAGGGCAAATGAGTCTTTTGTAAAATGTCAGGCAGTATTAAGGAAGCATTCATCCCTGGCTTTAACACTAGTGTGACTTACATGAACAGACATTGGAACACTGTGCTCTGTCTCACTGCCATAGCTCAGGAACACTGTAAAACTGAAGGTTGGTAGCATGCAAAGAATAAATTGTAGCTTGGTATCTGTGGTGGACAAAGCATGGAGTAATAGGTCTAAATCCCAGTAAAAGAAATACAGGGTTGTCAATGAGAAATCATTTTAGGGGTAAAGGTGTTGGAGAGTTGGTTGGGAAAAAAGGAGCAGTTCAGTCTGTGAACACAGCTTTGCCTTATTAAAAAAAGAAATAATAATAAATCCCTGAAATGAGGACTTTATCCCATATGCAGACTTTAGAAGGAGCACTTCAAAGGTTGAATTTTGTCTTTAGTTTCTCTTCTGCTGTCAATCACTTTGTCAGTGTTAAATAGGAGACATTTTTATGGTACTGTTTCACCGTATAACTCCTGCATGGTAGAAAGGGAATGGATCTGTTCATACAGACTGAGCAGTTCTCAAACACATGCAAGCCCAGATAAACAAAGCTGTCCTTTCAGTAACCTCAGATACTGCTAACTATCAGCAATATAGCAGAGGGCTCCTGATATTCCCATTCCTTTCTGGGCAAGAGATGCAGAAATAATTGAGCTGTTCATTATTTGGTTTAAAATATATACGTATTTACATCCAGTAGCATCTGGTTTTGATCACTTGTGTTGTGATGTGTTCATGTGTTCATGTGCACCACTTTGCTTACATTCAAACAGCAAGTTCCCAAGCCAGCTAGAAACTGCAGTGGAATGAGGATTCAACTTTTCACAGCAATGCAGCAAGATTCACTACTGTGGCTGCACAACAAATGCTTGTGTGCCTCAGGCAGAAGCCAGTTCGGTCAATCAGCTGACAAGTGAAAGAAACTCCCCTGAGAAAATTAGTTGTCTGTTTTCCACTGCAAAAGATATGGCAGATAACATAGACTGCTGAGTGATTTAGAAGTTTTCATCCCCTTGGGTGTTTTGCTTAGGTCCCTTCTATGAATTTCAACATGTTACCAGCTAAATATAGGAAGAACCCTGTTACTATAATACATCTCCACTGGTGACACATTTTTACTGCAGCGCAGCAAAACATCTAGGTGGGTTTTTTTCCCCAGTCTAATCACCCGGGAACAGGGTGAAATAGCCCTGTTGTGCAACAGATCACACCTCCTAGGGAAAACAGAATGCCATGTGCCTTGACTGCTGCAGAGCTTTGACGGAAAAAGGATCTGTTTTCCCAGGAGAGCCCTGGAATACTTGCTGCACCCTGTGACACTGTCTTTCCTTGAACAGGGAGATCCTAGCTCTTCTGTGAACTGCAAGAGAAAAGAGGCTATGATGACAGTCCAGAAATCCCATATGCTATGCCAAGTGTGAAAGGTGCTGTGTCAAACCCAATGTTTCCCTTTAGATTCAGCCCCTGGTTCTGCTGAGCTGAAAGCCAATGTTTTTTGATGCTTGCTTAGAGAGAGGAGGGAAAGTAGTTGGATGCGAGCAGTTCCTCCTTCATCTCCTGTTCATTTCTCTGCCTTTTCTTTCTTGCCTGTATCCAGATATGGTTCCAGAACCAGCGAGCAAAGTGGAGGAAACATGAAAAATTTGGCAACTTTGGTGGCCTTCAGCATCTAACAGAGGTTGATTTTGTTCCTGCTCCCAAGTCAGATATCACAGTGAGTATCAGAGAGTATGTAGAAAGCCACTGAGGGAGAGATAGGTATCCTTCACCAGGTCACCTCTTCACATGGGACTATCCTGGAGAAGGAGGACTGGAAAATACAAAACCGGCAATATGATGAAAAGAAATCCCAGCAAATATGGGCAAATAACACATTTTAAAAATTAAATTAAACCTGTTTTGTAAATATGCCTTGAGGTATCTCTTGCAGGATAATCCTTCCCCATTTTACTTCTAAATCACTTCCCTGTAAATCATACTTTGATTCAAAATATCTTTACCTTCATAAATTTCTTGAACAGGAAGAAATATGACAGTTGCAGCCACAAAGCTATGTTTCTTTATAAACAGTATATCTTTACAACATCTAGCCTTGTTAGGCTGACCAGTGCTTTTTGCCCTTGACCCACATCCTTGCCAAGTCCAGGACAGTTAATATTTTCTAGGCTAGCACACAGGCTCTTCCCCTGTCAGGAGTTTTTCCCTAGCTAGAACAAATGTTATTTTGCCTTGCTCTCTGGGTGACAGCACACTGGGTTTTAGGGAGTCTGTTCTTCTAAACTTTTCTTCTTCATTACTGAGCCCCAGGGAAACAAATAAGGTTGATCGTAAATTTTATCTAAGTTTGTATTGATTCACCTGAGACTGCATTTTTATTCCTGAAAGGCTCCTAGCTTGATGCCAAGAAAGCTCACTGCTACCATCCCTGCCGTGGGATACTACTCACCGCTGCAAGGGCAGCTGACAACTGCCTGGCTTCCCAGCACGTTCTCCTTCATACCCCACCACTTGGAGCTTCTGCCCTTCCCAAAACCATACTTGCTCTTCAATGTCCTCCCCCCTTACAGCATGCCACTACACCACAAGTTGGAAAGGAGCGGTATCTGCGCCAGTTCCACATAAAGAAGGATACGGTGGAGTGAGGGACTTTGGGGGCACATTTTTCTCACCCATGACCATTTTGGGGATGTGCAGTTCATCTCCTTGACAAGCCTGACAGGACGATGGATGGCCTGTGGTTCAAGGTCAACTTGCTTGCGGAAGTGCCACCACAAGTGCAGCCTAGCGAATGTGGGTGAGAGCCACCATGGACCAGGAAGGAACTCCCCATCTGCCTGGAGGAGCAGCATGCTCTGTAGAAACTTAGCTGCTCAAATGACAGCCTCTCCCTGGGGGAACAGTGCACCCAGCAGCACTGTGAAAGGACTGAGACAATACTGGATGATCCTATTGTGCTGGTGGCTTGGGGCAGCCAAGATGCCTACAATGAGGAGTGCATAGCCCCAAGATCCAGATGAAAGAGCCTTTCTCTGCAAGTTTAGGTAGCTTTCCTCATAGTTTCTGGTCCTCGTGCACTGGGGGGTGCAAGGAACATGTTTTGGTTAAAAATCAAACTTTCAAGATACCTTTTTTCCCCAAGTAGTCAATGATGGAGGGGGGTGAGAATGATTTGCTGTCTGTGTTTTTGACTTGAATAAAGGGACACAATTTGAGTTGAAATATGGCAGTCCGAGAGGAGTAGCAGTGCTGAGGTCTGGATTTGGTACTGCGAGTCTTTGGGGGCAAGAGAATTCTTCAGATGGTTAATTAAAATGCTTATGAAGAAGCCTCTATTTTTTTTCTCCTGAATTAATAAAGTTCCAAAACTCCATAAGAAACAGTAGCGAAAACACAGCTTGAGTTTAATCTACTAGACACAATAGGATGGTATGACCGCACACTTTGGTTTGATTAAAGATCAATAATGAGATTGGCCTGCCCACTTACAAAATGTCTGTATGTCCTATTATTTACATAATATTCATCTCCTTCCAGCGTATGGTGCTTTTTTTCCCCCTACTTGTTCAGGGTCCAGTCCTGCTTCTACTAATGTCTCCACTGGCTTTCATGGGAAGCACTGTTGAAAAGCACTGTTTAAAGGGTTGCACCATCTTGCAGCCACAGCACATATTGCACACTGACAGGAGAAGCTACTGATCAAAGCCATTAAAATGTGGTCTCCATCCCAGACATAACACTGGTAAGGGTGGCTATTCATGACAGAGCCCAAAAGCAAAGCAAATTGGGACCCAAAGGCTTGCTGGTGAGGCTGTCCTGTGCACTTGCAAGTGCAGGTGGGTTAATGACTCTGAATAGGTTGCTTAATTAAGAAATCCCTCTGGCCAGACTACAGCTGCCAGATCTTCAGCCTTCTTCTAGCCACTAATTGTTAGTTACATAGTGGATCACAGTGAGTCAATAGCTTTCTTCCTTTCTGTGTAGTTCAGGTTTGGGAGACCTGTAAGCTAGGGAGTAGCTGATTGTTGCAGGGGAAAAGATAAATCCTACCCTATATGGGTTTCATTTCTCCAGGCCACAACTATTCAGCAGAAGTCTAATATACTGTGTTCTTCCTCCTATAGATCTTACACAAGACCTTTTTCCCACAACTGCTCAGACCTTTACCCTATACCCTCTTCATCCCTGTCATCTTACGTGACATCTGAAGGACAGTCCACTCAGATAAACTTCAGCTCCAACAAAGGGGTTTAAACTCATTAAAATAAACAGGAATTAGTTATGGTGTTTACCTCATGCAACCACACACACCTGAATTAAGGACCCTGGGCTCATTTTAAAGAAAAAAAGTGACTGCACTGAGGTTTCTAGGTTAGGTAAAGTCCACACATCAGTGCAGTTTCCAGGGTGTGAATTGTTGCTATGCAATGATTAGCTTGAATATAGACACTGACATTGTAATAATTTAAAACTAAGGGGGTGTGACTCTGCACAAGTAGACCGGGGCTGCAAATCAGCATGTGCATTGGGAGAGCTTATCCCACAGGAATATTTCTGTAGCATAGAGGGAGATTCTGGGATGATCATAACGTGACCATTTTTCTTTGTCAGGATATGGAATGTTTGAATTTCATCAGTCTTTTAATAGAAACCAATCAGCTTCCCAGGGTTATTGCTTACTTTCTGTCCACTCCACATGTCTGTCTGATAACCCCATGGCCAGGGTCCTACACAATCATGATGCCTACCCAGGTTCTGGAAGCTCTGCTTCATGACTCCGAAGTCTTCTAAAAGCTCTATTTTGGACCAGAGAGGTGAGAAGCAGAGCCACTGAGCAAACATCATCAACTTCATCTTGAAAAATGAAAGCCTTAGAATTCTTTTTTTGCTAACAGGTTCAATACTTTGAGTGTTTGTTGTGATGTAGAACAATTTTGCTTGGGCTTTCTTGTTTATTTATGAAGTTTCAGAATTTTCCACCAAACAGCAAGTCTAGGTTTCAGGACATATATAGCATCTCCATTTATATGCAGCTGGTCGAATCCCAGACAGTTAATACTATTGCCTTGTTTTCCACCATTTCTTAATTTTATTCTGAGGTGCAGCCAAAACAAGTTAGCAAGTGGGACAGATCCTGGCATTGCCATCTCATTAAATCCCAACACGTCCTAATCTTCCAGTTTTCATCCCACATCATCTAATAGTGGCATCTTTTCCTTCCTCTGCACCCCCTACCTATCTTCAAAGCAACAAATAAGGAAGTCCTCTTGTTTCATGTCTGTGCTAGTCCTCAGGATGTCATTTTTGCATTGTTTTATACTCTGATGTTTCCAGAAAATGCCAGGTTGGGCACACCAGTCTTTGGGACACCCTAAACTCCACATTCCTTCAAACATACTGGATTTCTTTGGGCATAAGTGTACCTTAAACCTGCTGAAGTGTTGCTAGAGGAACAAGCCATTCAAGGAAGTTGACCACATACTAGCAAGACCTGTGTATAGAAATGCAGTCATAGTTTCATCCTAACTTCAGAGTGCTAGTCTGTGGTATTCCCTGAGCAGGTGAATGGGAAAAAAAGGAATCAGATTTCTCACCACCAGCATAAGACTCCAGCTGTGCTGCCTTGGAGTGAAGCAGTCCATCTGATCTCCCAGCACGTGCTACACGTGTCCCAGCCAGAAACACCTTGACCAGCTCTCAGCAGACTCATCCCACTTCTCAAAAAAAAAATCTCGTTATCATCTCTATCCAAAGAGCCTGGCAGATTGGTCAGGCTCAAATCCAGTCATGATAACATTTTGTTCCCTCAGCACATCTGAATCACTTCTCGAAGGCAGCAGCAATGAGAGGCAACAACGTGAAGGTATGTGCTCCCTGTCAATGGACATCCTGGAAGGCTGTTGCCACAGTCTGCTGGATCAGGTCACATTAGCCTAATAGCATCTCAGAAATAAGTGATGGGAGAGCCCCATCCTGTCCTAGTCTCTGATAAAAATGCAGGGACATTATTTATAGTAGATGCTCAGAGGTTTTGCCTCACCTAATTTCAAGTGACTCAAATGACAGGACTTACAGCTCACTCAGGGGTGACCCCTCTGCAGTCTCACAGCTCTCCATGACACTCTGCTTACATTTTCTATATGACAGTTTCATCCTCTTATCCCCCATAAAACCCCTTACAACCTGAACAATTCCTCCCACCAGTTTATGGCCATGATTTCCATTTTCACACTGACTTTTCTAAATGAGCCAAGCCACTGGTTTCAAGGAAATTAGTCCTCTTCAGCACAAGGAAGACATTATCCTGCCAATGATGTTTGCACACCACAGACACCTCTGAGCCTTCAGGTGGCCCTGGCTTGTCCTTTAGCTCACCTAGCTATCTGTTGTCCTTAATCTTTTCTTGTCAGTCCCTCTGGGACATAGATATTGAGGGCAAAATTCTTAATTGGATTAAAAACTATTGGATGGGTGACCAAGGTCCAAGAACTGACATATATTAGCAGCAATCAAGAGGGCGGTGACTGGGACAAAGTCCAAAGTGGGTGGTAAATACTCACAGGGGAGAAGGGAATGGGAAGCATGGCAAGTTGACAGGGTTGGGATCAGATTTGCCCATCTATCAGCTACCTGTGAGAAGGGGCCCTGTGCTGCTGAAGGGAAAGAGGGCATGGCTGTACAGGAGAAAATCTCAGCTTAAAAAGGATCCCACATAAAAAATGGATGATGAGGCTACCTGACTCTTATTTAGACAATTTAATGTGGAAAACTTGATGCATATCAGACTGAAATGTATACCAGTGTACAGAGCAAGAAGTCATGTGTGCAATGCTTGATATTCTGATCAAATGCTCATTTTGGGGGTATTTTTTTAAGCTTAACTGGAATTTCCAGCTTGGATGGCTTTTAATTGTACCACAGTAAGAGAGCCCTGGGTCTCTAGAAAGATTTTCTGTTATTGTTGCTGCTGTTGTTTTGTAGGGGTGGTTAGAAAAAAAAGAGGTGGAGTTTGGAGGGGGTTGTTTACTTTTAAAGGTTTCTTTTTTATGTTTTTTTCCCTTTTATTATCACATGCTCTGATCACAGTTAGAAAGATAGTGTGCAGAGAGGGTGCTGCCTGCTCTGCAGTTCCAAACAGATACACACTAGACCTTAGGTCAAAAAAAGCTGTGATTTAAAGCAGCCAAATACCTGGTTCTTCATGCTTGTTGACCAAGCTCTGTTCTTTCCTTGCTCTGTGCTCTGACCTGAGTTTGCTAAGCAACTTTGAAGTATTCCTCCATTACCTCACACCTCCCCTTAGCCTGGAGTACAGGTCTTGCTTAAGCACCTACTTCAATTTTCTGCTCTGCTCCCTTTTTTGCCCCTTGGTAGTTTGGTGTATTTTTGTTATTAGAAAATGCTATCACATCTATCTCGGGGCCTAAATGAGCCCACATCTGTGCCTCTCAGGCAGATCAACCAAAAAGACTGGGTTTAAATAAGGGCTTAATTCATAATATAATGGTCAGTGAAATAGTTCAGGTGGGCTTTTATCCATAAGAACTTAGCTCTTCCAAGAAGGCCTCTTGTGGCACTTCCTCCTTGCTTGTGTCTTCATGCAAACCTGCTCTGTTCCTGGGCCA